GAAGACATGAATATTATTGCAGATAAATATAAATAGGGTTCAGAGGATTCTTCTCTAGAACAAGAGAGATGATCTTCTCCCTTTACAAGTATCAAAATCACAATATCCAAAAGTTCTAAGGTTTCTCCTCTCTCCAAAAGCGTTCTCTGTCTAGGAAAAAATAGAATAGAATATGTCTGAAGGCCACAGGCGGCTGGGGAAAGAAAATAGAAAGGTTAGGGCAAATCCCGAAATTAATTAGAAGTTTTCATAATATTCGGGAGCAAAGCGGGGTTTGCTCCGCGATAGAGGGAGCAAGCAAGGGGTTGCTCCGCGATGGGTGCTCTGCGATGGAAAACTCTGGTTTTTGCATTCTTTCTTCCATATGCTCCTTCTGGTGCATTTCAACTCGTTCTACACCTGAAATAACTCAAAACACACTAAGAATACTCCAGGAAAGCACAAAAGTGATATGCAAAGTATGTGTGTAATATGTCAAAAACACAACATATCACTTTGTTCTACATTTTATAAAATATATTAATGTATAATCTTATATATTAAAGTTAATTACGAATTATTAAAATATTTACTCCAAATTTTTGAAAATTAAAATCTTGTTAAAATCTTTTAAATAGATTTGTTAGATATTTTGTAAAAAATATATATATTTATATTTAAAATGAAAAAATAGAAAAAAATATTATGATTATGAGATTTATATTTAAATTAAGTGAATATTATGTACAATTGTTTTGATATTCTTGTTGCAACTGATTTATGGATTTGAATCCAGATCAGTTTGATGAATATGTGGTATTCTATGTATATAATGTTGAACCAAGAAATTGTAAAATAAAACTGGCTAGTTTAACATTTCTTTATAGGTGAAATGCTTCAAGGGTATGTGTAAGAGGTGGATCATCACTCAAGAATATATATATAACACATGTAAGTGAAAGAAACAGAGATTTCAACGTTAAACATGCACAGAAGTTTTCTGTTTCATTTCAGGTCGTGTCCAGTGTATTAACAGAGTTTAAAATGTATTAACAGAAGTCACAAACAACTCACCTTTACAACTCACCTTTATACACGATGATATATTGGTTTGATCATTAAGTTAGAATAATTAAGGAATCGAATATTGGTTTGTAAACCGACCGGAATTTTTGGTGTGTATTAGGAAATATAGGGAATGATATTAAGTGATATTATTAATAACAAATGAATGATATATAACTGATTTCTAGAAAGGGTCCAAAATTTAAAAAATCACACATGAAATCAAGTCATGACTTCTGTTTTAATATATAAGATGACATGGTCCAACATAACTTCTAAATAGTAGATAAATTTGGTACTTCTCTTTTAATAGAGAAGATTTTTTTAATCAGACCCAAAAAAAGAAAAAAAGAATTTACTTATGAGTGCCTACCTTAATCATGTTCTAAGAATGAAAAGACCCTAAGGTCATCTACATCAGCGAACCGAAGAGGGTGGGATTCATAAGTAATATTTTTGATTATTTTATTTTTTTGTTTTCTGCTTTATTTAAAAAAAAAATTAGTAATTGAACCAATCGCGAACCGTCACATGTCGTGGGACCCACAAAACAGTTATGATACGAATTCACGTCGGAGATCCTCTGCAAGCCGAGTTCACCACTTGCAATTATTATATTCTTTTTTTTTTCTTGGGGACTGTGTGAACCTCTCCTGTGAAATGCTAATGGGCATGCTCTAATAGTGCATTTTACAAAATAAAAGGCCCAAAATCCTAAAGCCCCATACACAAGACGCCCAAAATACCAAATCATTATTCACCACTAATATTCCACAGCACAAGCAGCGAACATAACGGATAGTGTTATCCTCATCTCCATCTCCATCTTCATCTTCTAACTCATCGAGTAGGAGAAGCAATAGATTTTAGTGCCTCAATGAACATTACCACTTTTTATCGTCACTCAAACACCATGTTAAATCCTCACATAGACAAGACTTTAGCGAACACTCGACAAGCAAGCTCAAATAATATTACATTCATGACAAGAACACAAGGGAGCAGAAGAAAGATGGGATTGCGTTTAGTAAGAGCATGTGTCGGAGAAGAACAATCCGACAATCAAAGTAAGCCCGAGAGAAGAAGTTTCTTGAGCTTAGCAGAAGCTGGTCTTGTCGAAATCTCGGGCCTTGGTGCACACGAGAAGTTTCTCTGTCGACTAACGGTAAATTAAATTATAAGTGTATAACCCTTTCGTTTCTTGAATATCATTATCTGCAATGCTAAATTTAATTTAAACTATAATTCAGTTTTTTTTAATTAACGAAGATTTTTATTCTTGTAAATTTGACTGGTGCTAGTGAATAATTTAGGAAATGAAACATCAACTTTGCATATAAAACTGAATACATTCATCTTTGTGAAAAAATAGTTTGCACATACATAATCAACAACCGCATTATAATTAACAATGTATCAAGCACTAGTGTATATACATAAATTAAACAACTAGAATTTCATTTTTTTTAAATGAAGAAAGAATCATGTACATTTGATTATTGAGATATAAATCCGTACTAATTTCGGTTGTAATTTGGAACTGAAAATATACAGATATCGTCACTGAATCTACTAAGAGTGATATCGGAGCAAGAAGAATGTTCAATAGAAGAGTTAAATGCTGGAAAAATATGCGACTGGTTCTTAAAAGATAAGCTGAAGAGAGAGCAGAACATGGAATCTGCCGTTCTTCAATGGGATGATCCCGATTTTCCATTTTAATATTTTCTTATCTTCACGTTTAAGATGCAAAAGAATATGTATGATCTTCCACTGGACAATATTGAGTCGATTTGAAGATAATAGCTTTTTCTTTATGACAAGGTGAGTATATGTATTATGGTAAGTCTTAAATTAATGTGGTCTACACCATCCTAAACAATAATACGTATCTGTGAATCGGTTGGAATTGGAAGATGTTGAGGATTCTATCGGTTTCCTGCAAACTTTTTAGGTAGTTCAAATCGCAAATCTAACACATCAATCAATCAAGGTGAACTCGAATCAAGCAAGAAAGTAAAAGACACAAGAGTATTTTGGTAACCGGTGTTCACCGCACTCCTCCAATGTGGAGAAGCCGCTATACTTCACCGGAGAGAGAATTAGGTCTCTCAACCTTTCCAATAGATGAACTGAGAAGAGTACAAAGTCACTGGAGGTTACACTTTCGTTCTTCCTCTCTCGGTTACAATCACCACGAGATACAATGGAATAGAGGAAGAAGAAGATACAAGCGGATAAGTTTAGCTAGATATACTGAGAATCTCGATATCTCTCTAGCTCTCTCTCACCAGCCCTAACTCTCTGTCTCGAGCTCTCGCTCTTCGTCTCAAGCTTTCTCAGCTCTCTTCTCTGTTTCTGTTACGGACTCCCGTCACGTAACCTCTCCTCAATGAAGATGACGATGAGAAGATAATTTCAGCTCTTGGTCAATTACTCTTTTAACCTTACCTCCAACTCACGTGACATAAAGCTTGTGAAACCTTCTCCTTCGCTGAGAGTCTTTATCACACTTGAGCATTATTAGTAGATTAGATGGCACACACTTCTATTTTATCTATTTACTAGGATAAGACCTGCGCCTTACGCAGGGTGAATATATGTAATTAAAATATAAAATTTTAGAATTGACAAATTAAAAATTTACATATGATTGTTTTTCTATGTATTTGAAATTTAAGAATTTTGAAATTTTTATATAATTATCTATACGTAGGATCATAAACAATTTTAGTTAGAAATGTAGATCAAATCTTAGAATTTAATGGATTTGATTTCATATATCTTTTCACTTTTAAGTGTTCGAGTGATGGAAAATAAATGGAGTGTCACTGGGCTTGATTGGTAGAGTATTAGCAAGTTCCCTAATGTTTTTTAAGAAGCAATTAGTAAAATATTTGCATTTAAAATATATAAAATTTTCAAAACTAATTTAATAGAATTTATTTATCTGTCTAATAATATTAGAAAATTATATTTTTTACAAATTATTATTTTTAAAAGAATTTATAAAAAAATATGTTAAATTTTAAATTATTTTTAAAAACAATAATTTAAGTTTTTCAAATACAAATAAACAATTTAAAATTAATTATGGTCATGATTTAAGATAACTATAATGATTTAAAAAATTTAAAAATTAACAAATTAAAAATTAACTCAGTTTTATATCATGATTTAACAATTTAAAAATTAATTATGGTTATGAGAAGTTCACGTTCACGTGTCAGTCCTATTTATCTTCCATTTTTCTCTTGTTATGTTTTTTTTTATATTTTGGTTATTACTCGATATAAATATTTATTTTGAATTTTATTCTCATTTCGTTTGTTTTAGGAAATACTTAAGATATAAAATAATTAAAGAGATACATACTTAGGTTAAGATCTGCACTTTATGCACAATAAGTATTTTATATTTATTATTTATTTTATATTTTCTGCATATTATAAATAATAAAATAATAACTATATATTAAATAACTAAGAAATCAGTTACTATTATGTAATAAATTGACGTATGCATATAAATTTAACTATTACTCTTGTTTATTCACAATTAGGGTAAATATATCAAAATAATTAATCTTATATATTGTATATGATAATATAATTAAATTTAAATGATATAAACATAGTAATATAACACACTTTTAATATGGATATTTTATTAAATGAGGTTTCTACTCATATGATTTTATGACTATTTGCATATTTGTGTAACAAAACTTTACACCAATGAATTTTTTTTAATGTGAGATGTTTAGTAGTTTCAATAATTTATAATCATTTTAAAAAACAATGACATATTTCAAAATTAAAATATTAACTTTTCAATATATGTTCAAGGCAAATATCAAAATATAAGTATGTAATTTCATACGATGTATAGTTTAATTAAAATGATATTAAATATATATATATATAAACTAAAATTATTTCTTTATATAGTCTTATAATCATTATATTTTAGTATAGAAAAAAAAATTAAAACCTTGATCTTAAAAGTTTATGTGAGACTTTTAACAGTTTTAGTAATTTATACTCATTTTGAAAAATTTGAAATATAACATACACAAAAAAATCTAGATTTTAATTATATGATTAATGTAATTGTGTAATTTATTTTAATAATAAGGAAATAAAAAAAATGAAAAGAAAATATACAAATTGTTATCAAATCTTTATTGTTTAAAATCATTAATTGTCATATATATATTGTGATCACATTAGGTAATTCTGTAGGTTTTATTTAAGGAAAGCATGCGAAACAATAAATATTTGATATATGCGACCAACTATAGCGTACAAAATATTATATTGTTAGAGAATATAATTTTTAAACTATACATTATATCACATGCTATAGAATCCTTGGGATTTGAAATAGAAGCCAAAAGAGCTGTGCCACGTTAGATTGGAATTATTTTTAATTCTTACAAACTTAAGATTATAACTTTTTAAATGATTCTCAAATAATATATAGGGGATTTAGTCTACGCACAGCAAGAGACAATAACATTATCTAGTAGTACTTTATGTTATTTAAACAAATGATATATATGTTTTTAGATTCAATCGCAAATCAACACACAGACAAAACAGATGTTCTAATACATTTTCTTGTAGTATTTAATTTTGTCTACGCACAGCGAGAGACAATAATAACATCATCTAGTAGTGTACTTTTATGTTATTTTTAAGCCATCACATAACGACAGTTAGACGCATTCCCCAGCCTTCTGCTTCTTCCATCGGTGAGCAGCTTCAAGAATCTTAAGATTGGTCGTCTGTGACTCATCTGGGAACAAATAATCAATGTATTCTTGGTACCTGCCAAAGATTCAAACAAAGTTTTTGTCACATTTAAGCATTATTACCATTTCAAAGATAAAGAAACTGAGGAGTTATATTAATGCAATGCGTACTCTGTAGAACCGTCTTCTGTACTGATGGCTTTTCTTTTCTTGAGCTTCTTTGGGAGAAGCGACTGAACGACACTAACATCCCCGAGGCTACCAAAGCCCGTCTCCATGTTAACCCAATCCTCCAAAAGAGTAGCACGCTCTTCTTTGTGTGCGGAGTCTTTGTAGTAGGCGTTGGCTCTCACGAAGATGGCTAAAAGTAGAAGAAAGGAAGAAAAACAGTTAAAACATGCCACAAGGAATCACCAAAATTAACTCATAATATAACATTGTAGTTTGAAACCTCTGGCGCGTCTGATGCAGTCTTTTTTGGTTTCAGTAGCAGCTTCTTCTTCTTGGTCTTCTTCACCTTTGTGTTCAGCAGCAGAAGCTTCAAATTTTGCAAAGCTAACCCACACCTTGTAATGCTTTGTACGGTCCAAAAGTAGCTCATATAAAACTCGTGTCCTCTCAAACTCCTTTTCTGATATCTCAAAATCAATGTAACTCTGCCAAGAAAACAACATCAAATAATTTAATATTGGTCGGTTCACAAGTCTGATAAATCTTCGGAAAAAAAAAGAAGAAGTAGAAGAAGCTTACCTTCCAAAGTAGCTCGGGCATGTCTAGAACAGGCTGAGAGATTGCAAGTTCAAAAATAGCTCTAGCGCGGTCTTTCTCAGAAAGAGACATCTCAAACTCAGCATAGCTTCTCCAAGCATAGCAATTCTCAGGAGACCACTCAAGGTACCGGTCGTATAGTTTTCTACATCTATCTATGTTTGCCAACTGGAGCTCCATCTCAATGTATTTCTTGAATATCTGTTTTACAAATTAATCACCGCAGTAGGTAAGACAAGACATGATGAGTTAAAACCATTTCCAGAGTTCATGCATGCTTTAATTAATTACCTTGTCTTTTGGAGCTTTTCCAATCGCATTTCCCAATATCTGCCGCGCACCGGTGAGATTCAATTGCCTGATTTCAAATTGTGCAGCGAGCAACCATATTTTGGCAAAAGAGAATTTGGTGTGTGGGATAAGCTTCAGGCATGCTCTGTAAATGTTTGGTACAAGAGACAATTTAATAAAAATGAAAATGAAGTGAAACGTAAAAGAAATGTAATAACATGAGAAAATATTAATACCTGTAAACATCGCGTGTACGCTCCACATCTTTAGTTTCAATCTCCTCATACAATGCATAATTAATCCTACATACACAACAATGAGTGAGTCACACATGGTCCAGCGTCAAAAGATGCAAAAAAAAAAAGAATTAAAGATGCAATAATCTTGACTCACCAGAGGTAGATGTATCTTTGCCAATATCGTTTCTCCTCGGCAGGTGGAACATTAGCAACTGCCCTCTCATAGATTTCCCTAATCCTATCTTTGTTCCCAATACAAGTCTCTTCTTCTTCTTCTAGCCTAAGGTAATCGAACCAGGAATCGTAGTTCAAAGGGTTCTTCCTCACTTCCTCTTCATACTCAAACCTCTTCTTCCCAATAAGGGCATCTTCAATACCTTCCTTGCCACCGTACTGTTTCTCAAAGGCCACAAACTTTTGGTACAAAGCCTCAGCTCTTTCCTTAGGGATATGAACAAGAGCATACTTGTAGATACCCCTAGCCCTCTCTACTTCCTTGCACCTTTCTTCAAATTCAGCAAACGCCACATAGAAACTCTCAGCTTCTTCGTCTTCATCTCCAAGAACCTCTGAGGCACGTTCGTAAACCTTCCTAGCAAGCTCAACCTGACCACACTTCATCTCAAACTTTGCATATAGAATATAAGCAGAAACGGTTGGGTGGCAAAGAATAAATCTCTCGTAGATGGATCTTGCACGTTCGAATTCATTAAACTTGAGTTCGAAGTTGATATAACAAAGCCAACCTTCTTGATCAGGTGACCAGTTCATCCACCTCTCGAATACATGTCTAGCCCCAGCGAAGTTCCCGAGCATCTTCTCCATGTGAGCATACTTGTACCAAAGCTGGTCCACACGAGGGAGATACGTGACAGCACGATCCCAAACGTTTCTAGCACTGTTGACAAACTTGTTCTTCATCTCAAACTCTGCGTACTTGATCCAGAGCGTATGGTTCTTGTAGTCTCCTTCTATGGCGCGTTCCCACACGCTCCGAGCACGCGCGTAATCCTTTTGAGACTCTTCCCACTCCGCGTATTTGACATAAACTTGGACGTTCCATCTCGCGCGCCTTATCTGGTCTTCAAACTCCTTACGACGTCGTAGCGTGTAGTCGGAGAGCTCAGTAGAGTCGGTGATCTTCTGCTTCGGTGGACGGATCTCAGCCTCTTGCCTCTCTCGAGCTTCTCGTAGAATCTGCTCCGCCGTGATTTGCACGGCCGCGGGAGTCTTGTTCTTGACACGCGTCGTCCGTGGAAGCCTCACTTCCGTGTCCTTACGGGGCATGTACGCTAGGGTACGGTCGGAAGAATCTTTGCCGGATGACATATGGAGGAGATCTTTTGCCTCTTTTCTTCTAGGGTTTCCTGATTTTTTGTCTTGGAACTCAACAACAAATGATGATTACGTAAACATAAACATGATTATATCAGTGTTGTTAAATGGGCCTACATAGACTTGGCCCAATATAAATCTACTTTTGTGATCAATTCTCTTTTCTTCTAGGGTTTCCTGATTTTTTTCTTCTACTTTTTTTTTGTCATCGAAAGATTATCATATATCACCTGATCAATATATATATAAGTTTACTTCTTGAAAAGTCAAGACGAGAAGAAAGACAATGATGATGATGTACGATCTTCCATACGATTTGGAATCGGAGATACTTTCTAGGGTCCCGGCCAAGTCTCTATGGAAACTCAAAACTACTTGTAAGCGATGGTACGCTCTATTCAGAGATCCGAGGTTCGTGGAGAAGAACAAGAAGATGGGTAAAGCTGCAAGAGAGTTTATGTTACTGTCCAATCAGGAGGTTTATTCAATAGCCGGAGATCTCCATCGCAGAGATTTAGATACACCCATCGAGCTTACTGGTAAACTTCGAAATCTAAAGGAGGGTTCAAAAGATGTGAACGTTCCTAATATATCTCAATGTGACGGTTTAATGTTATGCTCAACGAAGGGGAGTACTAATGGACTTGTAGTTTGGAACCCATGTACTGGTCAAACGAAGATGATCAAACCCAGAACTTGTTACATGGTTATGGATGCATATGCTTTAGGATACAGCAGATCTTGTTCTTCTTCTTCTTCTGGCCATAGCTACAAAATTTTGAGGGGTTGGTTTCATGAAAACGACCAAAAAGTTAGGGTTTCTGAGTTTGAAATCTATGAACTTAGCTCTGATTCATGGAGGTTTCTTGATTCTTTCACTAGTATCGAGTATTTCCTTAGGCATGGCATGTCTTTGAAAGGAGACGCTTACTTTCTTCCTGGAAATCATGATAGTAGTGTCATGAAGAAGTTTGATTTCACGACAGAGAGATTTGTGAATCTCCCTCTTCCAATCCCGAGTTGCTATCTTGTTGATGATGCGGTTCTTTCAGTCGTTGGGGATGATGAAAAGCTCTCGGTATCACACTTTGATTACAGATCATATGTGATGAGGATATGGGTGAGCAATAAGGTTGAGGAGGCCAAAGATCTGTCGTGGAGGAGTGACGTTGTCTTGAAAGTGGATTTTAATAAATTTATCTGGAAAGTGGATTTTGATATAATGTATGTGGAAAGCTTCTTGTTTGACGAGGAGAATAAAGTGGCAATATCTTGTGATTTAGGATTAGTGGAAGATGAAAAAAAGGCCAGAATCTACATTGTTGGAGAGGATATGTTTAAACAAGTTTATAAAAGTACTGTCAAGGTAACTCATCTCGACTGGCCACGTGTCATCACTTATGTTCCAAGCTTGGTTCGCATTCAGGAAAGTACACCTAAAGGGGAAAAGAAACGGAGGTTCGCTCTTACATGAATTGCTTTTTTTCTTTCTTCCTTTTGGTTTTTGTGATGTTCTTATGCTTGCTTCTTTATAGCAATGTTCATTTCAAATGTTTGCTTTGTTGTGCACCTTCGTAAAAGATCCTTCCTAAATTAAGATCACCTCTTTAAAAAAAGAGGTTCACATGAATAAATAAATTTCGAAAGAAAATCTAGAAAATTAAAAGACTCTATAAACTTTTTTATTCTTTTCAACAATCTAAAGTTCTCTGTTATTGCCGAACTCCAATTTTATCAAGTACGAGAGTATATTTAAAATTTCACAACTGAATTTTAAGTATATTTAAATAGGGGAATTCAAGTTCAGAAAACACCATTTCTGTTTATTTTTCTCACGAGTCACGACATCAAACGTACCTGATCTCTCTCGCTAAGCTATGCATTACTTAGTGGCTTTACCCCCCCACAAGCACGGGGTTAATGTATAATATATTATTTGCATCATTGCCTTATACTTCCATTTTCTATTCAGTTCTCGAAACAAACTTACTATTTTTTCTATGTCGACTGAATTAGTATTCTGTTTCCTCCATAGATTTTACAGATCAAATGTGATGAGGATATGAGTGAGCAATAAGGTTGAGGAGGCCAAAGATATGTCGTGGAGGAGTAACTTCGTCTTGAAAGTGGATTTTAATAAATTTATCTCGAAAGTGAATTTTGGTAAATCTAAACTGTATGTGGAAAGCTTCTTGTTTGACGAGGAGAATAAAATGGCCTACTATCTTGTGATTTAGGATTAGTGGAAGATGAACATAAGGCCAGAATCTACATTGTTGGAGAGGATATGTCTAAACAAGTTTATAAAGATACTGTCAAGGTAACTCATCTCGACTGGCCATGTGTCATCATTTATGTTCCAAGCTTGGTTCGCATTCAGAAAAATACACCTAAAAGGGAAAAGAAACTGCGGTCGCTCTTATATGAATTGCTTCTTTTTTCTTCCTTTTGGTTTTGACGATGTTCTTAGAGCATGTACAATGGAGATGTTGAAATTAGTTTTCAACGGTTGAAATACGTGCAGTGAGTATGTTGATAAATTGAGTTACTTCAACATCCGTCGTAAAGTTTTAACAGTTGAAAAAAATATTTGTGAGCTGACGCTGCCATGTGTCGCATTGTGATTGGACATAATGACTGAAAGATTGTTTTTGATTTTTATCCTCACCCAATAATTCAAACACATTTTTATATTATAGAACTATTAAAAAATTATTAAAAACTATATCAAAATTGAAATATTTTTTATCTATAAATAGAGACCACTCTCATTTCATTTAAATTCAGAAAAACGTCATTTTTTCTCATATCAACTATTTTAGTGTTTTAAACCCTTTTTTGTTAAATGACCCCACTAATAATATTTTTAAAACTCAAAACTCTTCGAATATATAGTTGTTATGTTTAAAAAAAACAAAAATAAGGATTAAAAATTGTGGGGTAGGGTGTTGAATTTTTTTTAAACAAAACAATTGTAGAAGTTTAAAATGAATTGAGTGTTAAATAAATGAAGTGGAAGAACGATAAGATGATGATAAATGTTAAAAGGGAAAAATTAGGGTGTTGAAAATAGAGAGGATGTTGAAATCATCATACATGGTCTTATAGTTTGTATTTTACTTCGCGGATACTATTTGTCAAATACCTTGTTCTGCTTATAGCCATGTTCAATTCAAATGTTTGATTTGTTGTGCAAAAGGTCCTCACTAAATTTATATCAGTCTTTTGAACCCTAACATCTCTTTAAGAAAAGAAGGTTCACATGAATAAAGAAATCTCGAATGAAAATCTAGAAGTTTAACAATCTAAAGTTCACATGAACTTTAGAACCTTCTTAAGTCTGCCAATTTTTGGGGTCAAAAATAGTCACGACAAAGTCAACGCTCAAAAACCCTCAGAAAAGATAAAGACATTTCTCGGAAAAGTAATTCTCTAAAAAAAATCCTTGCGGAAAAAATCTTCGTTAAAATTCATGAAAAACGTAGATCAAACCACTAAGGACCGAACCCCGATTATCCGAGAGATAACAGCCCATGTCGGGCGCATCCAACAAGTAAGTTCAAACTCGGTCGCTACGTAGCGACCGAGCTCAAGCCAAGCTCGGTCACTATGAAGCTTTAATGTGATGTTCATGAAAACCTGTATTAAGCTTAAGCAATAGTAAATCATTAAAAACATTCGAATAAAACGAAGGAAATATTCAGCAAGAAATAAAAGATGAAACAAAAGAAAGGTTTTGCGATAGGATTAGTTTGAAAGGAAACAAAATAATAACGACTGTGACTTTAGAAAAACTATAAGGCAAGTTGTGCTCTCCTCCAACGAAGGCTTGTCGATATAGAGGCTCACCAGCAGAAGTTTTTCCTAGAATCTCACCTTCCCATCTTATTTCCTCCTCTATATACATCTTCTTCTTCATTTGGCCCCTCCTCTTCAACTTTTTCTTGACATTTTCTGCCCCAGTGACCTCAGATTTTGAATAATTTGTCCCAAAATTCTATAAATCAGGTGAGTTTTTTGCTTGCATAGCACTCCTATTGGGTGCAACATAACCCATACCTTTCAGATTCAATTTCACTTTATTTGGCGATATTTTCACCTTCGGTTTCTTTGGAAACGTTTCCTTCTTCACTTGCATAGCACTCTTGTTGGATCTGAAAGGTATGGGATATGTTGCACCCAATATGAATGCTATGCAGACAACAAAAACTCACATGATTGATAGAATTTGGGGACAGTATTACTCAAAATGCGAGAGGGAACTACTCCTGACCAATGCATGCATGACATGACAAAGAATCTCTTATAGTAGACTGCTGATCAGATCCATCGATTCAAGCATAAAGTTTTAAAACCTTTCTTCTCTGATAATTAAGACAAAGTAAACCTATATCATAAAAGCAACCAAAGCAAGTTATATCTATATCATTAGAAGCAGAGAGAGATCTCTGAGATGTGATTTATCTTCCACACCTACCTTGTCTTGGTATGGAAAAAACACGTTGTCGAAGACCCAAACTTAATACATAAGAAAGACGTTTTCAAGAAGCTAAGACCAAATGCAATGTTTCAACATCATCTTTTTTTTTCTTTTTAAGTTTCATATTCTCGTCTCATTCTTTCATTTAATATATTCAACAATCATTTCATGTTTATAATTTACAATAGTTTATTTAAAACTTTAACATCCTATCCCATCATTTTTAATTCATACTATTATATTTTACAATATAACAATTACATATTAATAATATTTTTTATTTGAATTAACTTAAAACTAAAATGACATAGCTTTTGATAATTTTTATTTCATTTATAAACTTACCTTACTTTTTCAAATAATATTAAAATTAATATTTCTAAACAATTAAAATTGGGATCCTTTTAACTAATGGAGGATATTGATATTATTTGAAGCAGAGAGATGTGTTTATTTTCTGCACATACCTTCTTTTGGTATGAAAAAGACGCGTTGACGAATCCCAAACTTAATACATAATGTCCAAAATTAGAAAAATGTTTTGAGAAGTTAAAGGTTTTAAGAAGTGAAGATCATATACCATGTTTCAACATCCTCCTTTTTTTATATGTCACATCATCTTTTTTTCTTTCATTTAATATATTCAACAATAACTTCATTTTATAATTTACAATAATTTATTTTAAAATTTAACGTTTCACCTCACCATTTTTAATTCATACTTTTATATTTTACAATATAATAACTACATATTAATAATGTTTTTATTTTAATTAACTTAAAACTAAAATAATATAACTTTTGATAAATTTTATTTTCATTTATATACTTACCTTAATCTTTAAAATAATATTAAAATTATTATTTCTAAAAAATTAAAATAGAGATCCATTTAACTAATGGAGGATATTGATATTATTTTAAGAACATAGATGTGATTAACTTTCTTTACCTATCTTCTTTTGGTATGAAAAAGACGCGTTGACGAAGACCCAAACTTAATACATAATGTCCAAAATTAAAAAGATATTTTTGAGAAGTTAAAGTTTTTGAGAAGTGAAGATCATATACAATGTTTCAACATCCTCATTTTCTCTCTTTATATGTCACATCCTCATTTTAATTGTTTAGAAATATTAATGTTAATATTATTTGAAAAAGGAAGGAGGCACAAGTAAAAGCGGATCAGAGCATATTTCAACGATCGACAGACTCCACTTTACCAGTCATTACAGGAAGATGGTGTTTTGTGGATGGTTCATGGAAATCAAATGATCAGTTTGATAGGCAAGGTTGGTATAGTACGCTTGTGGGTTTCGTCGGTGTAATGGGGGCAAGAAATGTTAGAGCTAGCATATCACCTCTCCATTCAGGAGGCACTCATTTGGGTGATGGAGAGTATAAGAAATTTACGTCAATATCATGTAACATTTGCAACGTGTTGTTCTTAATTGGTGAAGATGGTTTCGGAACCAGAAGAATGGCCAGCTTTTGCAAGTTATCTACACGATATCAAGACGCTTCAAGGAAGTTTCAACAGCTCGACAATTATCTATGTACAAAGAACACTGAACTCACAGCTCGATATCTGTCTTGCACGAAATGCCCGAATACAACCGTCTTTTGTTGCTCACATGGATAAAGAGCTACCGGTTTGGTTCACATAGTCTATATAAGTCTGTATCTCGATGACAAAAAAAAAATATATGTCACATCATCTTTTCTTTCTTTCATTTAATATATTCTACAGTCACTTCATTTTTATAATTTACAATAATTTATTTTCAAATTTAACGTTCCACCGCACCCTTTTTAATTCATAGTTTGATATTTTACAATATAATAACTACATACTAATAATATTTTTATTTTAATTAACTTAAAACTAAAATAACACAACTTTTGATAAATTTTTATTTCATTTATATACTTACCTTGACTTTTAAAATAATATAAAATTAATATTTCTAAACTATTAAAATTGGGATCCATTT